AGAAATTTGAAAACGCGCTTTTACCCGGTCAAAGAGCGCTTTTACCCGGTCAAAGCGCGGATTTTATTTTTAGTGGATTTGTGCTAGTACAAATGGGGCCCAATGTGTCCAACATGTTGCCAATTTAACTATGTTACTCTGCTGTGCTTACAGCAGCGACTGATTTGCCAATTTGGAAAACACTTTGCCTCTTGTTATGTTTTGTGGCGGAAGCAGCGCAGTGTCAAGGGAGATGGGGTCCTCTGCTGCTCTTGGGTAGGTCTTGGGTTCAAGCTACCATAGGTTTGAGAGAGAGGGAGAGCGACCATGCCCACAGAACAGCCACACAAGCGCCTTCGTAGTGCTATTTGGTCTTCGGAAACCCTCGTGTCGGGAATGCGTGCAGTTAGCTCTCAACCTACAGGGCTTTTGGTGAAGAATGAAGAGGATCAAACTCTTCTTGATGAGTATGAAGTACCTTGAACTTGACCTAGTTACGTTTGTTTTCTATTCTCAAGTTTTACTGTGCACCCCCCTGACCACTCATAGCGTCCAAACTATTCCAACCCTCGCCTCTGCCAAGGCACTTTCGCTGGAGCTGGAGGCGATCGATGAAAACCTCGCAAGTGGGGGATCTCCGCAAGCTGTTCAGGGAGCGGGGATGGGTGGTTTAGCTGATGATGCTCAGGAGGAGATTGATGGGCCTTTGGTGCAGGATCTTCGCAATGCTTTTGGGAAGGTTGCTGATAATATCCCTGTCCATGAGAAGGCGTCCCAAGAACAGGTTGGCTGTCCAAAACAAATTCCAAAGACTTTCGAGGGGTTGATTCTCCTGTAATAGTCTTGAAGACAGGTTGAGAGGACTCAGCCTGTGTTGTGTGAATTGAGTTGTTGGGCATCGCATGTGTCTTTCGTTTTCCAGGTTGCTGGTGGTCCTACAATTGCACCGACGGAGGCTACAGCTGCAACGGCAGTACCAACGGAACCTGTGGGTGCTGCTGAGCCCGCACCATTGCCTAGTCATGCTGGTGGTCCAACTGCCCCCCAAGGCTGGATAGCCATTCGTTTACACACCCTTTGCACGGATTAGAAAAAGATAACTGGTCATTGAAACTTTGGTAAGATTCCAATATCCAATGTACAGATAAATTGGTGAGGCTTCCTTTCCCTTCCCCATCAAAGCTGGCCAGGCACAGCCTGTCGAAGGTGCAGCCGGTCCAGGCTCACAGGATGCCTGGCAGCAGATCCCGGACATCAGTGACAGAAAGGCTCAGCGCCCCATCCCGGGAGAGCTTCGAATCTCACCGGTCGCGGCAGAATCACGTATGAAACGGATTTTCCAACCCAATGTCAAAGGTGAGTTTAAGGTGAGCTCAGAGATTGTTGCCCAGTGGCGGAACAAGAAGACTCGAAAGCCTTTGCAGCAGCTTTTTCAAAGCTGTGGCTTTAAGCCGGACAGGGTGGGATTTGTTGACTGACACCCCATCCAACGGGACTCCCACTGAAATCCAAACTTGTTTATCTCATTTTCTCTGATAGAAAAAGGTCACTGTATCGAGCACCTTGCCAACCCTGCAAGGAGGTGTTTGTGGAGGAGTGTGAATTGCTGAGACAGGACATGCTCCAGAACTCCTTGACCATAGAAGGAGAATTTGTTTCCGAGTCGTACATGCGCGATACCTTGAAATTCTCAGAGTTACTTGCCTTGGGTTGATTGGGTGATGTCCAGTGTCACTGAAACTAGATCATTACGAGCTTGATGAAAGAAATGCCCTCGCTCCTTAAGGCCCAAGATCGCTGCTATAATCTCTGAAGCTAAGAAGGCACCTAAGACTCTGATGAGGACTGCCCACCGAGTTTGGAATCAAATGACTTCGAACACGGGCAACCAATCACCACCCCTATGATATTTTTTTGGTTGAACTTTCCATGGACTTCCTACTAGCATGTTTGATCTAGTGCCGGTGATTGGTTTCACATTTCTTTTCTGACTTTGCAGGACATGCAGGTATGAGAAAAAGGTGTTCTATTGGGCGGAGATGCATGTGAAGACTGCGAACAAGTACCTTACTAAGCGCATCGCAATTCTCCCATGATAAAATGGAATCATTGTGTTATGTTAGCACTAGTATTAGCACTCCCTTCACCTCCTGCTGCCCACTTAGGCATATGAGCCAGCTCTCAATGAATCGCAGGATGCAGTGGACCCAGGAACCTCCCAACTTTGATGACTACGCTCCTGAGTGCTTGGAGGGAAAGATGCCTGTGCAGCTTCAAACTGCTCCACCCACATCTCTTGAAGCTAAGGGGGGGCAAGGGTGGCAAGGGTTCACCCCCAGTGCAGGTGGCGAAGGTCACCCCCAAGAGGGGTCAAATGGTTTCCCGAGCTCCATCCTACCAAGAGGCTCAATCAGCCCAAGAAGGCTGGGTTGGTGAATGTTCCTATGCTCACACCTACTTCTAAATTCAGAAAGGTCATTATGGTGACTCTGTGTTAAAACCCCAAAGACTCAACTGCTCATTTGCTTAACCCTTCAAGGTGATGATGACGATGATGAATATGAGGACTCGATCGACCCTCAAGAGCTTGCGGCTGAAGAGGCCGCAGGGAAGGAACGGAAAAAGGCAGGGATACCAGAGATCCATGTAGATGCATTGAACAGCTCTGCGGCGCCAAAATTCCTGACACTTAGCCCAAAAAAAGGTTCAAGCGCTGGCACATAACTCCTATTGTTGAACATCGCCCGGTGCCAGATTCAAGTGTATTCATGTTGATTGTTGTTTCGCCTTCAGCAGCCAGCATTCCCAAGATCCGTGTGGGCCTTCTCCTGGCTCCAAGGATCTGCTTGGCCAAGCGGGTCTCCAAGCTTGACCTTGGCTATCAGAAGTTCTTGTCTGCTGACCGCCTTTCAGACTTACAGCGGAAGAGTTTCGGCTCTAACCTGGTGCAGGTGATGTATTATTGTTGTGTCCAGTCATGACTTTCTGCTACCTTGCATCTGGCAAGGATGCAGCTCAAGATCAAGGAGGTGGTCGAGGGCTTGAACGACATTTCCAGCAAAATTGAGAAACAATATCATGACGGCGTGATCGACGGATTTAGTGATGCGTCTGTGTCCCAGCTATTTTCACAGCGCCCTTTTCCAACCCTTGGTGCACAGTGCCCTGCAAACCTACTGTTTCCCTATTTCTCCAAATCTGCAAGGTCTGAAAACGAGTTGGACCTACTTTACGGGATAGCTCGGAGCAGGCCTTGTTTTACCGGCGGTTCAATTTTTTGAGACTGGAAGGGGAAAGCATCTGTTTGATGTCCTGTTTCGACAGAAAACACCTTCACACAAGTTTCAACCCCATGCAGTGATAGTTTGACACCGCTCTTACCTCAGCTTTGCGAGGGCAATGGATGCATTAAGCTTGGAAAGCCGGATGAGGCCTGGATTGGCATGGGTGGTCGTTGGTGTTTCGATGGCTTTGGCACGATAGAGACATGGTTTGGACAAAGCTCTTAGTGAGAAACTTGTCCCTATAGTAACTATTAGCTAAATTAGCAAACTCCTAATGACAGTACTTGGCATGCGCCCCAAGACTTCAAACCTTCCTCACCCGTCACCCGGCTGCCCAGGCCATTCATTCCAAAAGGATCCACTTCCGGCGGGTCAAAGGGAAAGCTGAGGAGAGCGGGGAAGGGTGCCGAGGCTGCGGCCAAAGTTAGGGCCAAAGCAAAGGCAGCAGCAGCTAGCAAGTCCAAAGGTAGCGGGCCTCAGGGTGAAAGCGAGCCAAAAGGTTCCAGACCCAAGCGGGTAAGAAAGTGAGCTTTGTTTCAAACAAGTTAAGCGGTTATCAGCAAAGTATCTGTTTGTATGCTTACACCAGTGGTTGTTATAAAAGAATGGTATGAGTTGCAGGGTTTTTCTTCTGTTGAACGTGTTATTTTCTAGACGTGCAATGTGCTCGAAGCTCACTTGCTGGGGTTTCCATGCTGGGGGCAGTCTCCAAAAAGAACAAAGCAATGTACTTTTACATGTTCACACATAGCACCTTGGTTGTGAGAGACGATCCTCTTTTGGCATGTGACTTTTCACCGCCTGTTTTTTTTCGAAACAGCGGCTTTCATCCTTCACGCGGTGTGAGGGCAATCCACTAAGACAGGGGTGCAGCTGTCTCAGGCTTTCGTGGCCGGCCGTGAGAGAAACAAATGAAGCGGATCCTTTAGTGCCACTTGTTTTGATAGGTGTTTAGCTTCTCCGATGACACAGTGAGCCAGGTGTTGAACAAGACGAACCACATGATGGGTTAAAAGCTGTTGCCGATGCAGTGGCTGATGGGGCCCTCAACTTAGCTCAAACACGAGACATTATGCGCCCTAACATGTGGGAGTTGGAATTTCTTATTTCACCTGGGCAAGGCCCAAAGTCAATGTTTTGTACAATGATCCAGGATTCCCACACCAGATTTTGAAGTCAAATCTTTCCCAAGCCGGGCTGAGGTCCCATGCACAACTGCAGAAGCCATCCGGCGGGGCTACACATCTAGCAAAGATGCCCCGGCCACTAGTGGTTGGAAAAAGAATGTTTCCAGAACATGCTGGAATACATTCAGGCGGATGGGGATTTCTTGGAATGTGAAGCTTAGCAACTATGACTATCGAGCACCTTCTGGAGAAGTGGTTCCCATGACTTATGTTTCCCCTATATCTTTGCTGCAATACCTCTTGGAGAAACACGTGGATGTGTTGGTTGGAGGCTTGCAGTGTCCCCAAGAAAGGGCGCAACACCTTGATGCTTTTTGGCAGGGTTTCAGGCTGCATCATGGCGACCATATGGTGTTTGAGGAGCATGGCGGTTCCCTGTCGAGAGTGATCCCATTGTGCTGGCATGGAGATGAGGGGAGAGGCAAGCGACGAGGGAATACAGTTGTCGTTTCGCTGGAATCGCCGATAGGCATTCAAACTGCGCTACAGAAAAAAAAGGAAACATACTGATACTGCTGGATGCGGGTGTGGGTGCAACCCTCCGGACTCTATGAAGCAGAAGTACCACAGAGAACACAAAGAGATGCACGCTCGCACTTTGTCTGCCTTGGATTGTCAGTGGACGAACATGAAAGGTCACAGTTTTCTTCAGCACTTTGCGCTCTTCATCATTCCCAGTGTGGTGCACCATGCACACCCACAGGTGCTGCCTGAGATGTTGAAGCTGATATCTCTTGACTTCAAACGGCTCTTCTTTGAGGGCTTGACCATTGGAGGTAAGCAGTTCTGCTTTGCTCTGATCGCAGCCAAAGGAGATTTGAAGTGGTTTTGCAAGATCGCTTTGGAACGGTCATTTCAAAATCAGGGCAGGGTCCGTGACAGACCTTGTTGCCATGAGTGCATGGGTGGCTCAGGAGCTCTTACATGGGAAGACTTGAGCGAGAATCCTGTTTGGGCAAATTCAAGATATACGCAGCGACCTTGGTCAGTGCCTCCTTGTGTGATTGAAGTGCCGTTCTGTCGGAGAGCGCCTGAAAAACAGTTCAAGAGAGATCCATTCCATTGTGCCAAAGTTGGCATCTATCGGGATCTAGCTGGCAGCTGTATTTGTTGGCTTGTCGCCAAGCAGTACTACGGCAATGCTGGGGACTTTTCAGCCAAGCTGGAAACATGCCACGGGATTTTTAGATTGTACTGCACTACGGTTGGCCGCACAGCTGCTTTGCGCTCATTCAGCCGCGCCCTTTTCATGTACCCACGGTTTAGTGCATACCCGTGGGCAAACACGAAGGGCAGTGACACCATGGTTTTGCTGTCCTTCATTGCTGTTCAGTGCGCTGGCTTCATCAATGCTCCGCTCAATCCAGCTCATGTTGTTGACTTGAAGCTGATGCGCCAGACCTGCTTGGCTGCAGTTGACTACTTCTCTGTCCTCAATCACCATGGTTTGTGGCTCCGGAGGCCGTGTGCAATGGCTGCGCAGGTTGAGCTGACAAAATTTGTTGTTGGCTACGGGATGCTAGCAAGCAGGTGCTTGAACGACCAATTCAATGGTTGGGCTGTGAAGCCCAAGCTCCATCTCATGAAGCACGCTCATCTTGAAATGCATGAGTGGCTGGCAGCAGGTTTGGAGATTCTGCCAAATTACAACGTGCACAACTGCGAGCAAAACGAAGATTACATAGGACGAGTGTGTCGCCTGTCCAGGCGACTTGACAGTCGGAGGATTGGGCAACGTGTCCTTGAGTGTTGTTTCATGAAATCTCGTTTGATGCATCAACGCTTTGTAAAGGAGAACCAATTGGATTGAGTGCTGTGATTGGCACTGACGGGTTGGCTGGAAAAAGAGGTCTTGAGTCTTGACCGTGGGAAGGGACCAATGTTCAGTCAGGGCCCGATTTGTTTGAGCATGTGAGGGCCCGACCTCAACCTTTCTATGTTGCATCATTCTTTGGATGTTCAGTCAGAACCTTGGGGGTGGGAAAGCGGCGAGGCTGCAGGCGAGAAGGAACATAATGAAGCTGTGTTCATCAAAGATAAATCAAACGAACCAAAAAAAAAACAAACGAACTAAAATAATTGCAAACGCCAAAAAAACACAATGTTTCAACTTCGAGCGATAATTTCGCACGACCGGAGGTTGTAGGTATG